AATAAAAGCACAATAAGCTGAGACTATATAAACACTAGAATAGCCATAATAAAAAGACTAAAAATACCAAATGCTGGCAAGGATATGGAGGAAGCACAACTCTCATACATTGCTAGCAGGGATGGAGATGGTACAGCCACATTGGAAAACAGTTTAACAGTTTCTTTCCAAATTAAAAACATAGTTACCATCCAATCCAGCAATTCTACTCAAAGGTATTTACCCAAGAGAAAGGAAAACATACGCCTACAAAAAACTTGCACACAAATGTTCATAGCAACATTATTCATAACAGCCCAAAGTGGAAACCATCTAAATAGTTAATCAACTGGTGAATGAACAAAACATGGCATATCCATACAATAAAACATTACTCAGCAATAAAAAGAAACAAACTACTAAAAACATTATGCTAAGTAAAATAAGCCAAACAGAAAAGGCTACATATTACACGATTACATTTGTATGAAATTTCTAGAAAAGGCAAAACTATAGAAATGGACATAAGTGTAGTAGTTGGCTGGGGGTAAGAACAGGGGCTGGCAACAAACAGGCACTAGGGAATTTTTGGGATGATGGACATATTCTAAAACTAGATCCTCAACTGTGTGCATTTAATAAAATTCGTCAAATTGTACATGTAAAATGGTAAATACTATGCTATGTAAATTGTACATCAATAAAGCTGTTTAAAAAAACCAATGGGGGAGTGTAGTTTAAATAAATTATTAACTCATGCTAGGAACAAAGTTACTGATATTGTCATAAAATTTAAGAAGACATTATTTAGAATACTTTAAAAAGTGATGTGGAGGAAAAAAACGTTATGTATAGATTAGGCCTTGTAAATATCATAACTTTACATATGTTTCTGATTTACAAGTAGTTAGAAATTTAAACTATAAATAGGAAACAAACGTCAACCCTCATACCTATTATGTCATGTCTTTTCATAGCAGAAGCAAATTTTCAAGGCTGTCATTCTATACTCCTCACAAATTCAAAGCTGTGAGAGTTAGCATAAATTTAAGGCTGTTGGATTTTAGTGGTAGAAGGAATATCAGAGCCCCTCAAGTTAAAACCTACCTACCACACTGGATAAGAAAATAGAGACATAGAGAACAAGTGACGTTAATTTTATAGGTCTTCGCTTTATTGAAAGTTCAGTTACTAAAGCTTCATGGAATTCCAGGTGTAGGAAACTTAAACAGCTTTACCTATAAAGTTCAAAAGCAATATCACAGGATATCACAGGCAAACCAAAAACATTCAAATAAAATATATATGGTGATTGGTGATTTAGAAAAAAATTCTTACAAAGCACAGAAGAGGTAAAATTATTACTATTTGTTGATTTATGGAGCTGATTTCATCAATTATAATAAGAATCTCAAAAGACAAAAAGATTAAAGCTTTCATTTCTCCCTTTCATTTAAAATTAACAGTATTCTATAGTCTATAATATATCAGTCACAAAATATAATATAAATATTTGGTTCTCCCTTTCATTTAAAATTAACAGTATTCTATAGTCTATAATATATCAGTCACAAAATATAAATATTTGGTTCTGAGGTTGCTATATAATTTAGGGATTTGATACGTGTAAAATTATCCAATTATGCCACTGGATCATTTCACTTTAAGCGAACAAGTCATGGAAATTTATCTCTGAGGATTCCCCTCATGGGTGTAAGACTGAAAGACGACCCTGCCTGCACACGAGACGGTATCAGTGATCGCTCCTTCACTGCTTATGCGCACAGCACTGGGGATACAGAACTGTCTCCTCAATGAGTAGTATTCAGCCTCCTAGTGACGTCAGGTGATAGCAGAGCTGTACCACAGAAACCATAATTTGGGCTTGGGATAGACACAACAATATGCATAACTGTGCATACTTTAAAAAATGTTTTCCAATGCACATTTGCTCTGCTATAGATTAAACGTCTTTTTCAAAGCATGCAAAGAGGACATTGTAAGACTATTTATCTGATTACTCGACTGAAGATTTAATAATTAAAACTTTAATCTTATTGTACTTAGAAGAAACTTGAACTCTCCTTCATAAAAACATACATTTATATTTTAAAAGAAGGTAAAAGCGGATGAAGGAAAGAAAAATTCTCAGATTACTCTAAACATCCGTATATATCTTTTGGCATTTTTTACTTTTGATTATTTCAACATTTTACGGTGATGACTAAGAAATCACAAGAAAAGTGATCTCATTTAAGAAAAATGGATTCGTGTTAGTGCCTAAATGTATAAGTAAGTATTATGACGTCTACAAAACCTGTTATTCCTAAGAAAATAAATACTAAGACAGTAATATTGGTACCATAAGTTCACACTCAAGTGATGAATACCAAACTTCTGAAATTAAAAAGAAAAAAGTCATCAAAACAGACCCGCAGATGTTAATTCTCCTTCAGAATAAGTCAGGAGTAGGGATGTCAGCAGATCGAGCCAAGAAGTAAGGAGACACAACCAACTAACGATAACTTGTTATAAGCATACAAGGACATTTCTTTTTGAACCCTTCATCACTTCCATAGCCACAGCTTTGACTTCAAGTTTTCTTGTTACCTTATTAATAAATACACAGTGAAAACTAAAATAAATTGCTTAAAAACATCAACGTATCTGACTAAAATGTTGATTTTTTAACAAGGAGTAGTAAAAGGATTAAACAAAGAATTGTGCTGTCAATTGTAGGGGAGAGCAGGGGTAAGTTTGGTAACATATCAAACTAAATTTTGTTTAATTACTTCTTATTACATCAACCCTTGGCAAATCATAAAGCTTTTCATTCACTAAAACAATCATTAAATTTAAAATTACTTGCAGAATGGACAATCTGATTTAAATTAAAACCTTTAACAAGATAAAATAATTTACACATGAAGTAAGCAACAAGCATGTTCAAAGACATATGAAAAAATTAAAACAAAATGTTTTACATATTGAAGACATTACTTTTTAAGAAGTACCTATTTCAACACATCAACTATAGTCTGCCAGTTAATTTTTCTTCACAATTACATTGTTTGATATGAAACCATCATTTTCTGATCATGTCACAAAATAGCAAGATCCTGAAACCAAGGAAGGAAAATCAACTAAAGCTATAAAATAACCATGAAAACATAATCTTTGTTTCTCTATCTAATACTTGCTTTTCCTAAGATTGGTTAATAAATGCAACATAACAAATCACTCTATTAAAAAACCATGCTTAATACTTGAGAGCTCTTTAGTAAAAATAAACTATGAACCCAAGTTTTGCCAAGATATCAAAAGGTCTGATAGAAATGACTCCACGCCATCTCTAAAATACTGCAAGTTGTTTTAAATCCAAAAATAGTAATTAAATCTATGAATTCCCATTAATAGGCTGTGTCTAAGAAAATACATTTTATAAATTCTCAAGAAAATTCACTCCAAAAGATTAAGAAGACTTCTATATTCATCAGTTTTTTTCTTTTAATATTCCTAATTCCTGGTATTCATAATAAACAAATGATCGCGAACCTAGTATGGGCTTCCATCATGGCAACCAAACACTTTTGACAAATTATTTAAACGAAGGATTTAATTGGTGAAGTAGCTTAGCAATCTATATTTTACAAAGAGAATCTTGGAAGGAATGTGTATGATAGACTATAAGAGACACATTTCAAAGACAAAATAATGGAAAATAGCCAAATCATTAGCTCCTGCATACCACTTACACATTAGTTCAGTCCCTCCCATCATGCATGACCTCTCCTTAAATCCTCTTCCACTGACCTCAGTACTGTCTTCACAGTTCCCACAGAGCACCAAGTGTGTAACAGCCCATGGTGTAGAAAATTAATCGTACATAGAAAGGAAACATAAGCAGCCCTGCGTGTGAAGTGAATTTGGAAGTATTCCCCTTAACATTTCAAATTGGATCACTGCTGTTATGATGTTAGTGGCTTTTAAATCTTTCCACAAAGGAATGGTCCATGGAAAGGAGTTTAACATGCCTTAGCCAGTAGTATGATTGATGGGAGAAGCTTTCCAAGTCTGAGGGACCAACTTTTCTCCTTTTGCCTTTTTTTAAAAGTATCATCACAATGAACTTGTTTTTCAGACATCTGGCAAGTTTTCCACCATTTCCCTTCACATCTTTCCTAAAAAGGAGTATTTTCTGTATTATTTGACACTGAGAAGGATGCATGGTCCAGAAAACAAAACTTTTTCCTTTTATAAGAATTTTGATGGCCATTTTTATTCTAAGGTTTTTGTCCAATTTTCAAAACTTGTAAAAGTTTGTAAATAAAATTTTAAAGTTTTAGCTCCATTTGTAACCAGATTTTATAATACGTATTAGTATTGACAGGAAAAATATGTTTTTCTGAGAAATCTATGTGTTTTATCTAATGTAGTATACCAAGATAATTTTACGTATAAATCTGAATAAAAATCTGTATGTTAGTATAAAGTTACTAACATACATTTAACTATAGTATAAAGTTACTTTACTAATAAAGTACTATATGTACTACAAAGATATAAATAAGTAACTTTAGGTCTGTAAGAGACATTGAAAGAACAAGTTCTGAATGTGAGTTTAGGACTCTGGCAGACAATTTATTCACTTGTTCAGTGGTCATCTAGCAAGCTAAGGGCAGGCAAATTGCTAGATTTTATCCCTCTACGCATCAGTCGTCAAATTAGGTATCTGAAGCACTTGGCACTGTACCAAGATAATGACCAACTACTAACACACTCAACACTTCTCTCTCCTGTCTATCTAGTCTCTTCTTTGGAAGTGCACAGTTTAAAACATTAGACGAGAAACTATTATCAGTTCCTTTGAAGCCTGGATCCAGGTCTTGTTCACCTTCATTGCCCCACTTCCTCTAGCACGCAGCATAGTACTTTGAACTGGTATTTTTTGTTAAGTAGCTGAAACAGTAAGTGCCCCAGGTCATGTGGATAACCCCCCAAAATAGAGAAGGGCTACTTACCTGTATTGCTGACCATATATACATATATATAGCCTGGTGATACCAGAGGCTGCTCTGCTAGAGATTAGTTATTTAGATTCTTTCTTAGTGAGAATAGTGCTAGCTAGGTATTTTACCAGCACTGCTGTGGAATCAGTGAAAAGCTGTCTCCTTAGAAGGGCAAATCACCCCAAATTATTATGGTATCCACCCAACGGGGGTAAGAAGGGATAAATAACCTTGATACTTAGGGGCAGGAGGCACGATAGGACTCTGTGTACTTTAAGGATTCAGAAAGAAAGCTGCTGTATTCTCCCTTTGAGTTGATCACCAAGGAGGCAGGCACAATGGAAGAAATAACAATGAAAACAGGGCTGACCCAGTGTTCCTGCCACCCAGGAACCCTAGAAACTGTAACCCAAGGAACGGAATGTGGAGCACCTGTGAGGAGGCTTGTGCTCACGGGAGTGGAGCCCACACCTCTGAAGAATCACGGCACCTGTGCTACTGGCAGTCAGGCCAGGCCAAGGAAGTCTCACCAGATGGGCTAGCAAGCGACAGTGGAAGCCCCAGAGTCACCAGGCCCCACAGGAGGCCTGTCCTCTGTAGGAAGAAGGCTGGTCTGCTCCTCCCTACCTCCACACTAGACCAATGAGCACAGAGAATTCAGGACAACTGAGGCGGCAACAGGACAGATCTAAGAAGACAGACCAAATTTCTTTTCAATAAAGCCAGAGAGGCTCAATTGGAGAAAAAATAATAAATGTGACCATACTTGAAGCCTGAGATTTAGGAACAATTCTTGCTAGCTATATGTAGTACATATTTCTGTGTGTGTGCATGTTTTATCCACTAAAGTACAACACAGTTTGCTTCAATGTTTTCAATTTAGGCTAAAAGAGTCCTTCCTTTTTTGGTATGCAAAACAACTTTTCAAGGACAAAAGCATTTCAAAAAAATGGGCTGATTTATATGCCAGATGTAAGCAACATCTTTTCTGACTCCTGGTGACATTTTGTTGTTTGTTACCAAAACCTTCTCTCGTGGGAATTCACAGGGAGTTTATGTGAATCACAGAAACATCAGGCTTCTCTTGACCATCAAGGGTTAGTTGGCTCTTCTGACTCTTCTCACATCCATTGGCCTTTGTGGTCTTTACCAAGAGTGAATCACACAGTGTTTGGCAAGCAGCTCTGCACTGATGGAAATCTTCCCCCAATAATCCTTTAATGGTAAGTGCACAATATTTTTCTTCATAATAGATCATTGAATTTTACTTAATCGAGTTAGAAAAAGCGTTTGGAATAAAATGGGTTTAAATTTGTTCCATAACAAATAATGTTAAAGTTTTAATACTGGAAGTAGAAGAAAGCAATATATAAATGTTTAAGTAGTACATAAGTTATATATATAAAAGAATTCAGATAAGAAATTAGATGAAAAATCAAAGAGCATCTAATAGGACTTCTACTTCCAGACATGACAGGGTCACTGACATCAGACTTGCCTCCCACCAGAATATAACAATAAAAGTAGTCAAAAATATATGAGGCAACTGTTTTCAAGCAATGGACAGAAAACACATGACTCTGATCCTTGAAATAGGGGAAATACAAGAGGTGAGCCCTGTGTTGGATCTGGCTTTCTGCCAACAGGCCCATTCTTGGCCACAGAACAAGGAAGTAGGAACCAAGCAGAATGCAGCCAACTCACAGTGCTAAAGACCCTGAGATCAGAGTCTGGGTAGCTGAAGTGCCTGGAAAATGCAGAACAGGGTAGCAAAGGCAAAAAGCTGTGAGAAGGGGAAGAGGGACTTAACGAATAGCACACTGAAGAACACAAAAGAAGTTCATGGAGTAGAAGACAGATCGACAGATATCATCTGACCATTAGATCAGGAGGAAAAAGAAGATTAAAAAAAGAACAAAGGGGGCTGGCCTGGTGGCACAGCGATTAAGTTTGAACGTTCCACTTCAGTGGCCTGGGGTTTGCTGGTTCGGATCCCAGGTGCGGACCTATGCACTGCTTGTCAAGTCATGTTTTGGCAGGTGTCCCACATATAAAGTAGAGGAAGATGGGTATGGATGTTAGCTCAGGGCCAGTCTTCCTCAGCAAGAAGAGGAGTTTTGGTGGTAGATGTTAGCTCAGGGCTAATCTTCCACACACACAAAAAAAGAACAAAGCTTCAATGACCTGTGAAACCATATCAAATGTATGTAGCTGGAGTTCCCGAAAGAGAGGAAACTGTGGCAGAAAAAGGTTTAAAGAAATAATGACAGAAAACTTCTCAATTAGGGAATCAACAAAATCCCAAGAAGGATAACTATAAAAAAAAATCCTACATCAAGGCACATCACAGACAAACTGTTAGTACCAAAGGTAAAGAGAAAACTTACTTTAGCCATAGAAAAAGACATTATATACATGCTAACAATTATACAAATTGCAACTGACTTTTCATCAGAAACAATGGAGTCAGAAGACAATAGAAGGTCATCTTTAAAAGTGCTAAAAAGAAAATCCTGTCAACCCAGTATTCTATATCCAGGAGAAAATATTCTTTAAAAAAAAGAAGGTGAAATAAAGATATTTACACATAAAGAAAAACTGAGATAGTTCATTCATTGCCACTAGAACTGCACTACAAGAAATACTAAAGGAAAAACTTCAGGCTGAAAAGAAATGATATCAGACAGAAAACAGATACACAGGAAAGGATGAAGAACACAAGAAATGGTAAATATATGGGTGAATATAAAGAATTTTTTAAAATTATCTTGATTTCCTTTAAAGACAACTGATTGTTGAAAAAATTATATTGTAGAGGTCACAACATATATTCAAGTAAAATATATCCTACAACAGCACAAAGGAAGGAGAGTAAATGCAAGCATACTATGGGAAGGGTCTTACAGTTTACATGAAGTGGTACAGTATCTTAAGTGAAGTGCAGTAAGTTAAGGGTACATACTGTAAACCCAAGAGAAAAGTCAACAGAGGAAACAAAATGGAACACTAAAACATTCAAGTAATCCCAAAGCCGACAGAAAGGAGGTAAAGAGGATCAAAAACAAATTGTAGTAGCTGTCGTGGGGGGAGGGGAACTTCATTCCAATTTGAAAATAGAAAGTTAAAAGAGACTGTCACTCACACCAATTAGAAGCTGGATAAGCTACCTAATTATAGTTTTAAAAACCTGTCAGAGACTGAGGACTCCAAGAAACTTAAATCAACTCCAAAAAGTGACAAGCTCATTTTAAAAGATTGCCCCATGACTGCCCGCCCCTGCTGCTATCATCCTTGACTGAGACAGGAAAACAAGGACTCTGCCAGAGACAAGGGCCAGAGAGAAACCAGTCCAGCTTTGAAGGGCTGTGAGTGAACTGGCCTACTAGCATAGCATCCAGAGGAGCGCCAGACAGACAGACTGTACTAACTACCTCCCCCTCCCCAACACACACACACAAACTCTCTCCCAGCAGTCTTCACCAAAAATGGAGGCAAGAAAAGAGAACTGGGATAATCTCCCCAACGTGCTCTGGGCTTTGAGCTAAGGAAGACTTATGGGATGGAAGGCAAGAGGAAAGCCAAGGAAACTTCTCAGAGTCAAGAATCCCCTCCACGGAGCACAGGGCAGCCACAGTCACTCCACACAAGCCAATGACGGGGCAGCAGGACTGGAAGAGCTCTCAAGGCACAGACAGCAAGGGCTGAACTAGAAAACAAGGAGAATTCTTCAGAACCTAAAGCTGGCTGCTGGTTTGTAAAGCAAGAAGATACTACCTACAATTCAAAAAAGATTTGGAATAGCCCATGAACACTTGAGAAGGTGCTAAACACAATTAGTCAAAAGGGAAAGGCAAATTAAATGAAAGACAAATTAAAACAACAATAAAATACAACTTTGCACTCATTAGGATGGCTAAAGGAAACAAAAAGTCAAAAACAGATAACACCAAATATTGCTAAAGATGCAAAGTAACTAGAACTCTCATTCATTGCTGGGAGAAGGGTAAAATGGTATGACCACTTTGAAAACTACTGAGGAATTTCTCATAAAGTTAAATATATACCTACCCTATGAACCAACATTTCCACTCCTAGGTATTTACCCAAGAGAAAAGAAAACACATACCCATAAAATGTCTTACACAAGAACATTTATATTAGCTTTATTCATAATAGCCCAAAGCTAGAAAAAACTCACATGTCCATCAAGAGGAAAATAAATATACAAAGTGTATATTCATACAATGGAATACTACTCTGCAATAAAAAAAGAATGAACCACTGATACACGCAATAGTATGCATACATCCTGAAACCACTATTTTAAGTGAAAGCAGCCAGACACAGAGAATATATTATATGGTTTCATGTTATGTATATGTTTATATTATTTTCAATAAAAGACCAATTAATCTACAGTGATAAAAATCAGCAGAGGGTTTGCCTATGGCAAACAGATTGACTGGAAGAGGCATGAGAGAACATCCTAGGGTAAGGCAAAGGTTGGTTACACAGGTATACACATTTGTCAAAACTCGTGCAATTCACTGTATGTAAATTTTAATTTGATTAAAAAAACTGTAAGAGGGGACAAAAATATTGAAGAACAAAAATTAAAAGAAAAATACAGGAGAGGAGATGGCCATGAGTTGATAATTGTTAAAGTTAGGTGTTGGGTATATGTGGGCTCATTATTCTGTTCTTTCTACTTTTGCTTGTGTTTAAAATTTTCCATAATGAAAAAAATTTTTTTAAAGAAACTGAAATAACGCATTGTATATTTAAAATTTGCTAAGAGTAAATTTCAAGTATTCTCACCACACACAGAGAAAAAGGTAACTATGGGAGGTGATGGATATGCTAGTTTTACTGTGGTAATTACTTCACACTGTACACATAGATCAAAACACCACATCATACACCTTAAACACATACAACTTTTAGTTACAAAAAATAAAGAAAAATTAATTTTTTAAATATCGCAGCAAAAAAATAATCAGTCAAAATATTCATTTAACCTTTTCCTTATGGTATTTTGAGACAAACTACCAATACTCATTACCAAACAAAACACAAAGTTATTGAAATAAAAAAGGGAACTGGGTCTGCTCAGAAAAATAGTTCTTCAAGATGCTAAAGTTCTCACGCCATAGACCATGACTTAATAATTTCAGCCAGGAAGACTTTTTTTTTGAGTGATAATTATTTATTCATCTTGGAACCAAGTTAAACCTATACTATTAAATTAGCCTTATCTTTCAGGCTGGGGTCTAAGATCAAGTCAGGAAGATTTACGAAGCAGTCGTATCAAGCATGTTTCTTCAGTCCATGGTGCATGATGTCTGTCGAAGCTTGTCAGAGGTCCACGGGTACCACTCAGACCTACCACGTCAGTCTGCTCCGTCCACATGTGTACACATGCAGCATCCCAGAAGTACCAGGGAATGAACACTCACCTTCCCACCCCAGGAACTCTGAATCAACAACTTCTTGGAGTTGACACTTAAATACTCAGGTCTCTCAGCACTTCAGCGGGATGATTCTGAGGGATGTGTTTTATACAGGGTTAAGCTCTAGTTGCCATCGTGGTGGATGGTGTAGTTCAGAGCATGCCACGCCAAGATATGCCCCCCTGGCAGATGATTATTTTGAGTTAAAGGCACTGAAAAGTGGGAGATGCAAACAGGGCCCTCTGACCCTCCTTTTACTTCTTGAAAACAGGAGATAAAAAGCCCATGTGAAGGGTACCCTCCCTGGACCAGGTGGGAGAAACTTTTAGCACCAGAGACAGGGAGTTGAGGCCGAGGGAAATCTGTACAAACAAAACTCCGTTAAACTAACCTTTATCTCCCTAGTCACTTTCCCACAATTAACTGTCCTAACCCAAAGCCCTTTGTTTGTCATGTTTTCACAGTTTATTACTCTGTCCAACCTAGTAAATAAGCATTCGCCTTTAACTCTTTGGGTCTTCATTTTTCTCATGAAGCCTTTCATGTATATGTAAAAATTACTAAGAAAACAACCACCAACTGCGAGAAAGTATT